TCAGATAAATTGGGGGTCCGGGGGGGGGGGGGGGGTGAGGACACTGATGGTGGGCGTGATGGATAGAGCTTCATCAGAGCTAAACAACAAAAGAAATTTGAAGCTCCCATGTCGAACAGTTTCTGAGTTATAACAATTTTTGTTTGTCCAGACACCCCTTTCTCAGATAAATTGGGGGTCCGGGGGGGGGGGGGGGGTGAGGACACTGATGGTGGGCCTGATGGATAGAGCTTCATCAGAGCTAAACAACAAAAGAAATCTGAAACTTCCATGTTTCTGAGTTATGAGCATTTTTGCATGTCCTGACATCCCCTCTTAGAAAGGAGCCCCCTCCTCAAATATGGGGTCTATCGTACGTAAAACCGTTGGCTGGCGCAGTGTAGGTTGGACTCATCTACAGGCCTGCCAAATTTCATGTTGACCGGTGCAGCCGTTTTTGTGGTACGGTTGACCAAAATACACTGAAAAAAAAAAAAAAAAACCAGTACGAAAACAATATGACTCCCGCTTCGCATGCGGGGTCATAATAATCATTAAAGAAGAACCACTCAGAGGACCTACTTTTTTCTTTTGACTAATAAAGTGAACTTACTGTAGTTAAAATTCCCTCTTGCTAAGCTAAGAGTGCCAGACGTCACTAAAGTTATGTTTGTGACAGAATAATCTTAACTTTGTCATGTTTTACTTTTCCAATAACTTTTCAGTTTGATCTAAACATTGTTTACTACTGCTGCAACCCCAGAGTTGCATTAACCAACAATTTTACCACTTTCCAACTTGACATCTATATGGTGAACACAGACATGGGATAAATAAAATATATCTGCACAAAAAAAACACACACACACACACAAAAAAAAGACAAAACACAAAGAAAAACAATCTGTAAAAAAGCTTTGAAAAAAGCAAAAATAAATCAGCTTCTCATGTAGACGTGTTGAGAACACATGTACACTCACACCGCAGTGAAACAACTGTGGTAATGTTACACTGCTTTCTGCAGTACATGCAGGATATTCTAACAATGTAGTTTTGACTCATTTTTCATCCTGTCAGCTGGTTCAAGCATTTGTTCAAGGCCTGCATCTGCAGTGCAAAAAAAAAAAAAAAAAAAAAAAACAACCCTTGAAAGTAAATAGCTCTAGGAAGCCACCTGATTTCTATTCCTTCAGGTTGCCCCTTGGAATGTTTAGTCCAATAACACTTCGTGATTGTGCATGAGTGCGTGATTGTGCATGAGTGCGTGATTGTGCATGAGTGCGTGATTGTGCATGAGTGCGTGATTGTGCATGAGTGCGTGATTGTGCATGAGTGTGTGATTG